CTGGCCGCGGCATCGAGAACAGCTTGGCGAAAGAGCGCCTCGAGGGCGCCCAGAGCTGGCCCGAGGTCGCGCCGCCCGTGCCCGAGTGGAGAGCCCTCGACGGCAACTGCTTGCACAGCGACTCGTCGAGGGACTGCGAGGAGGGCGCGAACACTTGCTCCTAGAGCTCCGAGAGCTGGACCTCGAGCTCACCCACGAGCAGAAGGATATGCTCGAACCGCCAGAGGAGCGGATCAAAAACATCAAGTTCCCGCACGCCCTCGAGAACAGGATCGAGCTGCAACGGACAGCTAACCGCAAGATCAGGTGGGCGCCCAAGTTCGCGGGCCAGTTCTTGGGCAAGCACGCTCGCAAGTGGCAGCGCGAGATGGGCAAGGCTGGCGGCAAGACCTCGCTCGAGCACCTCAGCAGAGGCGCGGCCAAGGCGAAGCTCGCCGGCAGGCCGCCGAAAACGCGCGCGAGATTCTCCTAGAAGTTCAAGCAGAAGAAGCAGGCGGATAAGCACGCCAAGAAGCTGGACAGGGCCCAGCAGGAAGGCGGCCCCGAGGCTTGCGAGGGGCCCCCTGGCACGGCAAGGTGGCGCGCGTCACCGAGGGGGGCAACTGCGAGGGCAGGCGCGGCAGAGTGCAGGACGTCTGTCGAGTCGCGGACACCGAGAACGAGTTCTGCCTGCGCGTCCTCGAGGCGGAGACCGCGGCGATCTTCCAGATCAACAGCAGCGAAGCTTCGAGGGTCAAAGGCGCTCGCTAGCTTCCGCTTGCATATGCCTGGGGCGGCGGAAGCAGGCGGAAGTTGGCAGACAGGAAAAGGAAGGAAAGCGGAAGCAGGCGGAAGGAACGCGAAGTGGACACAGGCGGAAGGCAACGCGCGCCTGCGATTTCCGAGCGCCACAGGTCACGACCGAGCAGGACTACAAGTTCGCCAAGCCGCAGAAGTGCGACTGGCGCCAGACAAGACGCGCTCGCCGCGCCGCGCTCGCCAAGGAGCCCGCGATCATGCACTTCGAGCACATCGTCAAGGGCGACGCCCTCGAGCCGGGCACGGTGCGCGCGCTGCTGGGCGAGATCGGAGCGAGCGGGCGTTCCCGACAACGTTCTGGCGGTCGAGCCCGCGGCGGCAGTCGCCCGGGCTCGAGAGGGCCAGGGCGATGGCGCGCCCGCCGCCCGGCAGCCCGGGGAGCACAAGCGCTGGGCCGAGAGGGTCGACAAGGCCCAGCACGTGCTGGTCTGCGCGCACTCCGAGGCGCCCGCGCACTACACGTACCTCAAAGTCGGCGGTTGCTGCAATGCCCCTCCCCCCAGGGTGCCTCCAGCGTTTCGCTCCCGTTTGGAGCGAATCCTGGAGGCGCCCTCGGCAGGGGGCACTTGCGGCAATCCCCGCCGGGTCTCGAGGGTCGACGGGGGCGTCGTCGAGGTGGGCTACCGCGACGCCCTCAAGCAGCCGTCCGAGAACGCCAAGCAGGCCCAAAAAGGCAACGTGCGAACTCACGCCTACACCCAACGATTTCTGAGGCGGGAAGGTGGGGTCCACCTTGCTCGGGAGCTGCCGAGCGAAGTGTATGCCGCCCTCCCCCTCTTCAGAAATCGCGGGTAGGATTCGCGCGTGGCCTCCCGAGACCGCCGCGAGGATCCTCCGCGAGCTCGGCGCCATTGGCCCTGGCGAGCATCGCCCAGCACCGAGCAACAGACGGTGCCAAGTAGACGCTGGGAGCTGCGGCCTGTGGACGAGTCGCTGGATCGAGCGCGCCCTGCGCGACGCCCAAGGCGAGGGCCGCCAAATGCCGGCAGCTCTCAACGCCATGATCGCTCGAGGCGACGAGTTCATCGGTTAACTCAAGGAGGCGAGCGATAACGACGCGGCGATGGCCAAGGCCACGGCGCAGGCCAAGGCCAGCCGCAAGTCCAACCCTTGCAAGGGCCCCACGGCGGCCGAACCGAAGTGCGCCACCTACGAGGAGGCTAGCGCCGCCGCCCAGCTTTGCACCCAGTGTCTCCCATGCATGGACGGCTCCAAAGGATGCCGCGCTTGCATGGGAGAGCGGTTCGAAGTCCAGCGCAAGAGGGGTTTCTTGGCCAGATCGGCCAAGGACCTTTCTTGCGCTGGCACACTCTTAGGCGCCTAGCCACGAGCCTCGAGATCGCTCGAGTCAGCCTTGTGTCCTGCGCCTTTGCGGGCAAGTAGCCGCGAGCCTCGAGATTCCTCGAGCCATCTTTGTGTAGTGCGCCGCTGCGGGCAAGTGGCCACGGGCCTCGAGATCGCTCGAGTCAGGCTTCTGTCGTGCGCCTGGTTTAACCTCCTCCTCCTCCTCCTCCTCCATCATCGCCCCCCTGGCACGTCGCGCGGCGCGTCCCCTGGCTTGTCCCATGGCTCGTTCTCATTGGCACGTTCCGTAGCGCGCCCCCTTGGCACGTCCCGCGGCGCGTTCCCCATGGCACGCCCACTGGCACCTTATTTGGCGGGTCCGTCTCCCTGGCATCTCCCCTGGGCATCGCCCAGTTGCATAACCATGCAGTTGAAGTCTTTTTTATAAAAAAGTTCCATGCTTCGCAGGGTGCACTCCCTTTTTGGGTTCGCGGGTCGATCATGTTTTTTTGTGCGATGGATTGTTTTTGCGGAGGGGCGCGGTATATGCAATGGGTTGTTGTTACTGGGCCTGCCCCCTATGAATAGGGGCGGGCCCAGTATCAAAATTCTGAAACTGTGCGAAGCATCCTTTGGCATTATCCCATGCCTCCGCATGCACAGAGCACGGGGGCGGGTGTGTGTACATATACATATATATATATATATATATATGTACATACATATGTGCACCATACTATACATGTAATGCAGTTTGATACGTGTGCGTATGTATGTTCGTATGTATGTATGAATGTATGCATGTGTGTATGTTTGTCTGTATGCATGCATGCATTATATATATATATATAGATATTCAAAAGTATGGGTGGGGGGTCCTGGGGCCCCCAACGTGCACTGACTTATCTTCGGCCGTTTCGGGCCTGGCGGGGGGTGCCAACAAACGTCAAAAGGGGCCGGGATACGTCCAAGAGGGTGCCGCGATGGCTCAAGAGCGCTCCAAGAGAGCCTACGACCGCACAAGAGCGTTTCAACATGGGTCCATCATGGCTTAAAGACAGCCCAAGAGAGCGCCCCAATACGGCCACGATGCCTTCAACAGGATTCGCACGAAGCACTCAGAAGGCGACAGAAGTAGGTTTTGCGTTTGTGTTTGAAGGTGTTTCGTGTTCTCGCTGTTTCGTGCTTGCGACGGTCCAAACTTGCCCACGAGGCCCCAGAACTCAATTCAAGACGGCCCAAGAGGCACCCAACGAGGGCGCCACAACGGTGCACGAGAGCCCCAAGACGGCCCAACAATGCCCCAATACGGCCCAAGAGGCGCCCAAGATCGCCCAAGACTGCTCCAAGAGGCCCCCAAGCGAGCTCACGAGGCCCACGAGGCTCCCTAGGAGGCCCCAAGAGGCCCCCAAGGAGGCCCCCAAGGAGGCCCCCTGGAGACCCCAAAGGCCCAAAGGCTCACGAGGCCCAAGAGGCCCCCAGGAGGCCCCAAGAGGCCCCCAAGAGAGTTCACGAGGCTCCCTAGAGGCCCCCTGGAGACCGCAAAGAGGCCCCAAAAGAAGCCCCAAGAGCACCCCAAACGGGCCCCAAGGGCCTCCAAAACATACCAGTGCATAGCAAAGGACCGCCTAGTTAGCCTATCGTGGCATCGCAGCCTTGCATGGCATGGCGTGGCAGGGCACAGCACGACGGAGCCAACCGTGTCAGTGCATATCACAGTATGGTTCAGCATGCCATAGCACTGCATTACATAGCACTGTCTAGCTGAGCCTAGCACTGCACGTTATGCCGTAACACTGGCTAGCATGGCAATGCATCTCATGTCACATCGTGGCGTACTATGGCATTCCAATGAGCATACATTACTCGAACGGCACAGTAATGCTCTGGGAGACAGTAGCCAGAAATCATGCAAATATCACACCCCCGTTGTTGTTCTTACTGTCGTCCTGATTATTTTGACCTAGCAGCTCAGATCATGGCATAGCATAGTATTGCATTGCATTGCATTGCATTGCATTGCATTGCATTGCATTGCATTGCATTGCATTGCATTGCATTTCGTGGCATGTCGTGTCTGTGCATACCATGTAACGTTGTAGCATCGCTCTTCGTAGGAAACACAGCATCATATGCTTCAGCGTATCATCCGATATATTGGCATCGCATTCCGCAGCACAGCATGGCATGGCATGCAATTCGCATTGTAGAGTATTTAATGTTATTGAATGTGATACTGGATCGTGGCATTTTACTTTATAGCGTCGCATGGTGCTTCATGGCATCCCATAGCATAGTGCAATATGGCGCTGTAGCGCTGCCTTTTTCCTTGCCCATGGCTTGGCGACAGATTACCGGTCGACTGGTCGATGAGAGCGGAGGAGGAGGAGGAATGAGGAAGGAGGAAGAGGCAGGAGGAACAGATAATGCTGACCTCATTAATCATGACGGCTTTGTCATCTCAGTTCGGTCAGAGCTCGACCAGCTAGA